CCCTCCCTCCCTCCCTCTCTCCCTGCCTCCCTGCCTCCCTCCCTGCCTCCCTCCCTGCCTCACTCCCTCCTTCCTTCCTCTTTCCCTCCTTCCCTCCCTCCTTCCTTCCTTTGTATGTATGTATGCATGCATGTATGTATTCTGCCTGTTTACTAGGATTCATTCTGGTGTAGTGGAAAGAGTGAGATGCGGAGCCAGCTAAACCCTGAGTGGAATCCAGGCTTTTCTCTCAGCTACGTAGCCTTGGCTTAGAGCAACCAGCTGTCTTAGTGTGCTGGGGGCTGAGGGGTTTCCTGGAATGCAGGACCTTCAGCGCTAAACCCAGGACAGTCCTGGACAAACTGGGACAGTTGATTACCTTACTTGGGCAAGACATTTAGCCTCTCTGAGCCTTGGTTTCTTCATCTGTGAAACGGGGATAATAGTACTTGTCTCATGGGTTATTTTGATGATTGGAGCTAGTGCACAAAAAGGGCCTGAAACTACATCTCAGATCTACTAGGTGATTTTGATATTAATATTAAAACTTTGCTTTGCCCTATTAAAAAAAAAGCTACTGAATTTTGCTCAATTCTTAACATCTCTGAGTAGGGTCTAAGGGTAACACACCAACTGAGACTGAGATTATCTTAGAAACCTTGAGAACTCACTGAGGCCCCTAATGTCTTCCTCTTTATTTATTTATTTATTTTTGCTGAGGAAGATTAGCTCTAAGCTAACATCTGTGCCAATCTGCCTCTATTTTATATGTGGGTCGCCGTCACAGCATGGCTGATGAGTGGTGTAGGTCTATGCCTGGGATCCAAACCCGTGAACCTGGGCTGCCGAAGTGGAGTGTGCAGAATTTAACCACTGTGCCATGGGGTAGGCCCCAAAGTCTTCCTCTTTAGATACAAGACACACAGCTCTTACCAGCCCCTTCTTTCCAGATGCAGGTCTGATGTGTTCTGGGTATTGAATGTTTGGGACCTGAGGGTCTGCTCTGGATCTTTCCCTACACAGGAGTGGAGGCCCAGACCATCTGCCAACATTAGATCACCCACCCCAGAGCAAGCCCATCCTCGCTCTTTTGGGTTAGCCCTTCAGTCCAGACAAAGGAGTTGGGAACCGGGGAGGCCACTGAGGTGGGAGTGAGGAGATGAGTCTGGGTGGCTTTGGGGAGGGAGTGAGAGGTTAAACCTGGGTGTGGACTCCAGTCCTTGTTCTGGCTCCCCTGCGTGCCTGAGCAAGGCCCCGAGCACGACCTGACTCCTTTCTGGTCCTTGTCCACACCAGGGGTGTGGGCCTCTGCTCTCCCATCTTCAGAGGTGAGTGGGGGTGGTGAAATGGAGAAATGAATGTCCAAGGGTCACCAAAGGGGAAGAAAAATGAAAACAACACAGTGTGAGGTAGTTTCTGGGCTCACAAACATTCGATTTTTATCTGACTTTTTAATCTGAAGTTCGAAGTAGAACTTCAGAGAGTTCTACTCAGCCAGGACTTATCAGCTTCCTTCTTCTAAGCTGCCTGAGATGGTCAGGTCTCTATGTAACAGGCTGCACCTGCCCTGTGGACTTCCTGTCTGGATGTTATTATTATTTTTTAATTGTCGTAAAAAACACATAACATAAAATTTACTATATTAACTGCTTTTAATTGCACAGTTAAGTTGTCTTAAGTAGATTCATATTGTTGGGCCATGTCTGGATGTTATTTTCTATTTTTTGATTCTCTCTCAGTTTTTAGTTTTATTTTTTTCCTCCGGATATAAAATAAGATATTCTCACTGAAGAAAATTTAGAAAGTACTGAAAAGTATAAGTAAAGAAAAAGTATCATTGTATCCCCAACCAGAAGCAACCACTTTAAAAATATTTTGGAATATATTTCTTTCCAGGGCATTTTTCAATGTACTATTTAAAAGAATTAATATCTAAAAATATCTTAATAATTTAATGGCTGTATATTAGTTTACTTATGTATAAACTATTATTTATTTAAGTCTTCCTTTACCTGTAGTTGGGTTTTTGGTTAATCCAGTTTCACTATTCTAAACAATCGAGATATATCTGACAGGAGATCTTCATGTATTGAGGTATATGGGGTAGCGATTCTAGTTTAAAACTGATTCGGCTTGAACTAAAGAAGCCTGACTTACGGCCTATCAAGACGTACATTATACATCTGCTTTAACCATTAAAGTAAAAGAATGCACCCTTTGGAGATAAGAATGCATACTTTCCCTCCTACAACGCCAGTATCGGTAATGCCTGCCAGTATCGGTAACACCCATATCAGTACTCCTGAAGATAAATTCCCTTTCCCAGACATCAGGGTCGTGTTGACCTGCTAATTTGCAACTGAATATATGCTTGAAACTTTGATGAATATCTATCCTGGGTGTGTTTGATGTATGTTCTTTGTTCTAAAAAGGTATAAAACGGTACTGAAAAGCATGCTTCTCCAGAATGCTTTCTTCCTTTGTGGAGACTGCCTGCCCGGGTTATAATCCTCAGCTTGTAAAGTAAAACTCAAGTAAAACTCACCTTATCTCTCCTATCTATAGAATGGTTATTGGTAATTTGCATCAACATTTCTATGGGCATAAATATTTATGATTATTTCCTTAGGGGAAATTCAAAAAAGGGGAATTGCTGGATGAAAGGGCAAATATTTTTAGCCCTCTCTCATATTAGATATAGCATTATCTTTACATTCCCCCCAAAATCTAAGTTAAAGATAGGATGAAATATGATGTTTTCTGTGGAAGGGACTTGTATGTTCCTTGCCTCCAGGCAGGCCCCACCTCTCCCTGGAAGGTTCTCTGAGGAAGAAGTCTCTGATTTCCTTTAGCAACTCTCTATAGAGGGGGTGGCTGAGAGATTTCATCTTATTTGGTCATTAGGTAGTAGCCGTGTTTAGTCTTAAGTATTGTGGTGGTATGCATACTAAAAACCACCACTGTTAGACTCTTTATTTGGTATTTGAATTAAATACTTTTGCTCCAGAATGGAATTTGCATATACCTGAAGCATTTTAGTGACATTGTGTCTCCACAATATGGTATCTTGCACTTAATATTAAACCAAAAGGAAACTTTGTTTATCCTCAACTCCTAATATCTCTTATGCACGTTTATTATTAATTTGGGCTATTATGAAGAGAATAATCCCTTTCCTTTCTAACTGTGGATTGGGAGGTGTGAAAACCAGCTTGGCTACAGCCGGAGGAATGGAATAGCTCAAGAGCAGGTCTGAGGCATCTGCAAATGCTTAAGAATTGAAAAATCAAAGAAACTATGGTCCCTGCTGAGGACCTAGAAATATAACTGGGTGTTTGAGTGTGTGTAGGTATCTGTGAGTGTGTGTTTGTGTGTGTGTGAATGTGTGTGTGTGTGTGCGGTTCCTGATGAGTGTCTGGAGGCTTCGGGCCACTCAGACTGGTCACAGGTTTGGAGGTCAGGGGGTGAGACTGGGATTGCTGCAGGATTAAAGATAAAGTATGTAAAGCACTAAACACAGTACTGATGATCACAAGGACTCAATAAGGAAACAAAATAATGAAAACACATTGGTGAATTATTATAATTGATCCTTCAAGGTCATGTAACTGGTTGGCAGTGGAGTCTGGACCAGAAGTTCAGGTTTCTGATTCCAAGTCAGTGCTCTCTCCAGTGGAATGCATGAACTCTGAGATGCCAGGCACTTTGGCAAAAATTGTGGCCACTGGTTGACTCTGGGTAATGGATTGTGGAGGCAGGACGGGGCTGAACATCACCCAAGAAAAAGGCAAAAGTATTGGGCATTCCGCAGAGACATTGATTAAACCCTTCCTTTTGGACCTCAAGGTGGATGACACCAAAACACTCAGTAGCCAGCAACTTGGGACTCCCTAGGGATTTTTTTTTTTTGCTCAGGAAGATTAGTCCTGAGCTAACATCTGTTGCCAATCTTCCTCTTTTTTTGCTTGAGGAAGATTGGCCCTGGGCTAACATCTGTGCCAATTTTCCTCTACTTTATATGTGGGTCGCTGCCACAGCGTGGCTGAGGAGTGGTGTAGGTCCACGCCTGGGATCCAAACCTGGGCTGCTGAAGTGGAACATGCCGAACTTAACCACTAAGCCATGGGGTTGGTCCCCCCAGGGATTTTTATGGATAACAGTGGTGAATCATATTTTGAGCATGTACATTATGACTTGATTCCTCCATTTCTGTCTTTGCACAGGAGTCTTCAAAATGCCCCTAATCTTAGGAAATTTAAATTTGAATAGCTCAAAATGATATAACTGAAAATAGTTTTCTACTAACCAGTTTTGTAATCCTACTTATTTAAAATTGAATGTAAAGTTTGTGCCATTTTTAGGTTTTCATTATCAGTTTTCTGTGAGAAGCAGAGTAATCCCTCAGGTCCTTCCTCTCTGTATATAAATACCATTCTGTTTGGTAACTGGTCAGAGAGGTTCTGAGGTTGTGCCTCTTAAGCTTTTCTTGGAGTTCATGTTCAACCAAAGGGGTAAAAAATTAGGCAAAGCAATGAGTTTGCCTTATTTCTAAGCTCTGGGTCCTTAGAATACAGTCTTTGTGGCACATGACAAATCTCCATGTTTGACTGTGGGACCCAGGCTTGGCCAAGCTAAATGCCACTGCTCTGGCTATAGCAAGAGGTTTAGGGATGGATCCCTGACTCAAATAATCCAAAGAGTTTTATTAGGATTTTACTCTCTTATAGATATCAGGAAGGAGATACCTCCTTTGGGCAAGGTTCCCTAGCTGAAAGATGGCATATTTCTAGAAATATGAGCGGCCATCACTATCCTGTGAGGACAACCTGCGCTGAGAAGCAAACCAACAGAGAGGAAAGCAGAACTGAGATAAGGGCAGAGAAAGGTAGAGTCTTGATCAGATCCCTTGGTCCAGCTGTGCCTGAAGCCAATCCTGGCCTCAGATATCCTAGTTACATAAGCCAGTGCCTTGTTTGACTTAAAGTTGGGTGTTTGTCACTTAAATAGGTCCTTTACTTGCATTATTCCATTATCCTTATTATCCTCATTTTATAGATAAGGAAACTGAGACTCAGAAAGTGCTTTGTTCAAGCTAATGCAGCTGGGAAACGGTGTGGCCTGGATTTGAGGTTGGCCTGTTCTGACTATAGCTCATGTTGTTTCCATAGCCAGATGCAGCCTCAGTACAGCTAACTGAGCTGGTGAGCCCAGCCCTTGACATCACCAAGAGGACAGGCGTTGGCTCTCTTGTTTTACTAGCTCATGGGCAGGCCAATGACATTAGACACTTCAGGCTGGTGCACTCAGGGTCAGACAGGCTAAATTTGGTCCTTGGATCCCATGCTGCCTGCCTGGCGGCTGTGGGAATCCCTTTTTATTCAGGCCTCCCAACTTGCAGAAACCACTACCTGTGCTGGATCAGACCTGGTTGGCCTCCAGGCAGCCACGCTGCTGCTGAGCAGACACAGATTCTGCAAACAGAAACATACCAGGAAGATGCACTCAGCTTTGAGGGCCTGAGACTCCCACCTCCACTTCCTGAAGCTTAGGAAAAAAAGAGCAGAAGCTGTTCAAATGAGCGATAACAGTATTTTTAATATTTAAGTAACAAAACATGCAGGGTAATACTCAATGCATATACAATAAGAGCAACAAAAAAATTACAAAGCATAATCTAACTACATGGAGGCCTTCAAACAATTAAGTGTTGGATAGAGAATGTGCGAATTAGAAACCCAGCTGAGCCACACCCTAGTGCCTCAGACCGACCAGGGGATTTCTGGGGGAGGGAGGGAGAGCTCACTGTACCCTGTGACCTTCAACTCAAATCCTGAGAACCCTTAACAATCTCCATGCCCTAGACTGCTCAGCTTCCTCTCCCCTGATCCCCACTTCCTTTACTTGAATTGATTTATCTGTCCATCCTTTACACCATCTCAGACAATGAGTCCCATGAGTACTCTCTCTGATCTGGCCTGAAACCATTGCTGACTAGTGAGAAAGGTCTCTGAGTTTACTGTTTTGGCTCTTGGTGAACACAATTCCTTTCTGTTTAATGGGCCATGATCTGGTCTTCCCCCAGACATAGTCCGTTCAGCCTGAAGACCCCTATGGATACTCAGCCATCTCCTTGGAGGCCACTTTCACATGCACTATTGGTGTGAGGAGTTTTTTTTCCCAAATAATAACCCAATGGTCAGATTTCCCCAGTGCGAATGCTGCTCCCTGATTCTGTGGTTTTGAGAGGCTGCCCTGACCTCAGTTTCCTGGGGGCCTATTCTGGCTCGGGTGCTGGATGGAATTCTGGTGGCCTGGAAGGAGGAGTTCAGCTTTCTACAGCAGTGATGTAAACACGGGGAAGGCATGTGGCTGCAAAGAGCTTTCGGGTCTTGAACATCCAACAGTCCAACCACGCTAGTGAATTTAGTGATGGGAACAGTTCTCAGAGTAACAAAGCTGACCACAGTGCCCAGTAAGTGCTACCGTCCAGTGACAGTGACCGGTAGCCATGCAAGTGTGGACATGTGTCACTTGGAAACGTAAGATTACATTGTCTCATCACTTTTTTTTTTTTTTTTAAAGAACTGGTTTCAACTCGCTTCCTAGGATCTGCTGTGTTCCATTATCTGGTTTTTACATGGGTTACACTGACTCTATCATGTATAATCAGAGTCCTGGAGACCTCAAAGGGAAAGAATTAGGATCAGTGAGCATTTCATGAAATTTGGACTTGTGTGATTTTATGAAGTATAATAGAGGTAACATCTAAGCAATTATTTTTTCATTTTCTTCTATCCATGTGCAGGGATGAGGTTAATTCACAGACAGTGTGTCATTTCACTAATACATTATTTATTCTAACTATATTTAGAATACCAAATATATTTAGATGACAAAAAAAAAAAAATCCTTTCTTCATTCTTCTAGGGACACTTTCTGGCCTGTGACAGAAAGAAGCCCTGCAGTGGAGAGCCCAGGAGATCCTGGGAGAGTCTCGCTGGAATTAGTAGATGCCAACAGAAGCAGAAAGGTGTGGTTTCCACAACTTGAAATCACTTTGGTCAGGTAACATTCAAGATCACAGTGTGAGGAAACTCAGATAATGAGCTGGAGATGTTACAGATATCTTTCTCCATCACCTCTTCTGCTCAGTGTTTATTAGTAGCCAAGCTGGGGGAGGGGGAGGCAAAAATTAAATAGCAGAAAATGATGTCTTTCGACTGACTCTCTTTTTTTCCTTTCAGAATTGTTCTGGGAGATGAGTTGGGAAATAGATCATCAATGGGCTATTGGCTAGAAAGAAGAGAGAGAGAGTCTGCCTAAATCATCCAAGTGTCTGATAGGAATTCAAACCACATTCTATCATCAGATTAGGAAGGTTATATTAAAAGAAAAGAAATAGAGGATTGGAAAATGTGAACTCTAGCCTCTAATTCATATCTGAGAACCCAGCTGTTTTGTGATGGAACATTTAGAGACAGAGACGTGTGGCCAAGACCATCTGGCCTCACCACAGGCTTTGCTAACTTCCAGCTGTGAGTCAGAAGCAATCAGGAATCAAGGTAAATGTCCTTGTTTTTTGGGTGACCTCTAATTGGGGGGTTTCTTCTGCCCACACGAGGTGTCTTGGAGTGCTACACGTAGTCGTACTTGGAAGGATGAGATTGTACCTCGTCCTCTGTGCGGGCACCCCCATCGTATATCCTCTTGTTTTTGGTGTTGGATCCAAAGCTGGTGCCGACCTTGAAGCCTCCAGGCTTGTAGGCGACGTTGTGGCCTGAGGCGTGATAAGACACGGCTTTGTAGCTGAAAGAAAAAGAAACGTTCCATGAGCAGAGATGTACTTGGTAGGAGGACAAACCGCCCCATTTACCCTGGCAGGTGTCAGTTTAACACTGCAAGTCCAGTGTCCCAGGAAAGCCCTGGTCCCAGGCAGACTGAGGCAGCTGGTTACCCCTGGCTTTGAGACCCTGGTTTTTCTGCCTCTGCAGTCGAGCAGAATTTCTTGCTTTCTATTAAAGCTGATAGTTAGCGACTGGTGAGTTCCCTCTGTTAATCAATTAAAATGAGGCTGAACCAGAAATAATGTCCAGGGGAATGTGGTTATGCCACAGAATCACAGAATTTGTGAGCTGAAAGATACGAACATGCAGCCTGTCTCCTCTAATCTGCTCAGTTTATGGAGGAGCTAACAGAGGCCCAGAGATGGCAGGTGACTGGCTGGAGGTCCCAGGGCGAGTTAGCAGTAGAACCGGACTTGAATGCAGGTCTCCCAGCTCCAGGTCCATTTACAGAGTTGAGCAGGGTTTCTCAGCTGCGGTACATACTACTGCCACTTTGGAACGGACGCTTCTTTGTTGCGGGGCCCTGTCCTGAGCATTGTCGGAGGTGTAGCAGAATCCTGGCCTCCATCCACTAGATGCCAGTAGCACCCACCACCCCCCTAAAGTGGTAACACTCAAAAGAGTTTTCAGATGTTCCTAAATATCCCCTGGGGGACAAAACTGCTCCAGCTGAGAACCGTTGAGTAACAGGACACTGGCGTCAGAGGGAACCTAGAGGGATGGGGTTTTCCTTCAAACAGGATCATTCCTAAATCTGCTCAGGCTGAAATATTCCTCTTCTGTTCTTTAGGTTCCCCATAAAAGGGAAGGTTCATGATCCTTTAGTCAATAAAATTCTTCCATATCCCTAGACTGTTATTCTGGTTGCAAATTATAGGTTAAGACAGACTCGGATCAAACGTCTGATTGCACTGGACGAGGAGACGCACCTGGTGTCCTCGGGCGCCAGGCCCCGGCAGGCGATGCACATCATCACGCCTCCGATTAGCGTGAGGCCTCCAGCGACCCAGCCCACGAACAGAGCCGAACCGAAGGTGTACCTGAGTGGGGAGATGTGAATGTGGCTGTGAATGTGGGTGACTCGACTCTCCAGGCTCCACACACTGCACCTGGCCACGCCTGTCCTCTCTGGATTCCAAGCTTATCCCCACCCATGCCCCCTGAGCACACACTCCTTTGGGTCACAGCCATCATGCTCAGGTGCCCTGGAGAATAGTCTTGGAACTGAAGTTAGTCAGCAAAACAGCAGGGAGATTCTTGGGCCCCTGGCATCACTCAGGCAGAGAAGTAATTACAAGTCTCTAAGCTCAGAGAAATATCTCAGGAAACCCCCCTCCCTCCCTATTGCCAAAGGAGAGTGTCTTAAAGGTTTGGCAAGAGAAGTTCGAGAGATATGGAATGTCTCCAGTTATTTCTGAAGGGATTTTCGTCCCTTGAATTCTTACTGTGGGCCAAGAAGCTGTCGTCTTATCTAACTCAAGGAACCCCCGGCAACCACCCCTGCAGGCAGGAGCGTTATCTGCAGAAAGAACTAATGGGAAGTGACTGTTCATTCTCTCATTCATTGTTTGCTCATTTGTTCAACAAGTATTTATTGGACTCTACTATGTGCCTGGCACTGCCCTGGCGCTGGGATGTGGGGGTGAACAAGACAGACAGAACCCACCATCAGGGTGCTTCTGTCCCAGCCTACACTGGAGTCTAACCTTTGGTGGCCTGACTCCAAAGCTGGCGCCCTTCCCCTGAGAGGGCTGCCTCCAATGGGACTCGGTGACATCAGAACAGGACTGTCTGAGAACAAATCTTCCGAGAATAAAATAATTCTGATTCCAAACGGACATTTGTGGATGGTGGAGAGAGGGACCAAATCCTTGGTGACCAAAAACTGTTAGGATGTCAGTGGGCACTTCAGTGTTTGCTGGAACTTTCCCTTCATCTCCAAGAGCCCTGGAGAAAGGAGAGCACAGCTCGAGGGATACCTGCTCTCAGAGGTTCCCTTTGTCTTCCTCAAGAGCATGGGGATGTTTGTGGAACACCATGAACTGCTGGTATGTTTAAAATCAAAAACTAAGAATATTATATCAGCAGTCGGAAGACAGCAATATGTGTGCAGACCTGAGGACCTGGGTAATGCGAAGGGCAAAGCTGGCTGACAGAGCCCAGGCCTTGAAATAGTTCTGGGAGAAAATTTACCTGTAGGCTATTTTTACTTTGTTTGGACTAGGAAAAGACAGACATTTGGTTTGAGGGCTGTTGCCTTGGAATGAAGAACCCCATCCTACCCTCTTGTCCTCCCCAGTGGGGCTGGGAGCTTAACAGCTGACCTCTTCCTGGGGCTCCTCCTGGGGGGGCCCTGGGTGAGTCTCCTGGGGACAGCCTTCGCCCCTCTGCCCTGGCACAGACAGAGCGCCTGTCCTTGATACCTCTATAGATGGTTGAGTGACTGCCTAATGTTAATGATGATAACAACAATCTCTACCATTTATTGAGTCCTTACTGACACTGTGATAGAAACTTTTATCACAATCTCATTTAATTCTCCCAACAGCCACTGTGATAGGATTTATCACTCCCACTTTAGAGATGAGGAAATTGAGGCTCAGAGAGATTAAGTAACTTTTCCAAAGACCCAGGAAGGACATGGCATTGCCGGAACTCAAATGCAAGTCCCTCTGCATCCAAAGCCCTCATTGTTAATCATTAAGCTATACTATCTCTGTGCATGGGGAATGAGGCCGCTTCCTCCACTTAGACCCTCTTGGTGAAGGTTAGCAAACTTAGATACCTACCTGGAACAGGTAAGAAACTTAAATGAGTGAAGTGGGCTGGGTATAAGAAAATATTTCATTTTCTTAACTCTTTCATATGGGGAAAAACCCATAAGCATGATGATAAATGGCCTCTGAGTTGGGCCATTTGAACGTGGTGGGGCCTGGGGTAAACTGCAGAGTGTGAGTCCAGCTAAAGGGGCAGCTGCCTCTCGGCTGCAGAGATTGTTGCCATATGAGAATGAGGGCACAGGGCTGCCAGATCTTCTGATTTTTTTACAAGAAGCTGGAAAAACAGGTATGTGTGTGTGTGTGGTGTGAAATCTCCTTGTAGCAGGCACTAATGGTGCTCTGCCCAGGTCCCCTCTGTCCCTGTAACATTTCAGTGTCTCTTCCCCAGCTCCTATGTTCTTTTGTCTTTACCTGCCGGCCCCCCGTGACACCCCCTGGAGTTCTGGCTTTGGTTCAGGGTGCACAGAGGCTGACAGGTACTGAAGTGTGAAAGTTTGGAGTCAAGACAACTCTGAAGTATAATTCACGCCCCACAGCTCCCTAGGATCAGGCTGAGTCCAAGACTTAATCTGAAATCATCCCCTTCCTTGTCCTGCTTGTCCCACTCCCCATCCAGTCTCCCTTTCTTTAATAAATCACTTGCACATAGATCCTCAGGATCTGTTTCTGAGTAACCCAACCTGTGACACTCCTAATTTTTAAAAGTTGGTGATTAATTCAGGTTATAAAATGAAAGGCTAATACAAAACACCTCACAAGCCATGTATTGAGTGAAGGCCGGCAGTTTGTAGCTCTGGTCCAGGGCTTAGACTCTGCCCATGTTACACTCAATGCAGCAATGGCAGAGGGGAGGATCCTGGGACCAAGATCTTTCTTGGCAGCTATGCTGTCTTGTGTGACTTCTGGGTAGAGAAGATGAGAAGACAGAAGGAAGGGGGAAAACTGCAGCCCATCCGTGGAGGATGACGTTCTGGAGGCCTTTCAGAATCCTATAATTTCAATCTCAGGACTGAAGTTGCCTGCCCAAGGGACAGGGGCAGGTTCCAGGGAGATGGCGTGAGAGAGTGATGGCAGGCATTAGTGCTGGGTGCCAGCTGGGTGGGTGACTCCTCTGGTCAGGAGCAGTGACAGTAGGTACCCAGATACTCGGGAAAAGGTGAGCTCTTCTAAATAGGCTGACAACCATCCTGATTTGCCTGTGATGGAGGAGTTTCCCAGGACATGGGACTTTCAGTGCTAAAGCTGGGAAAGTCCCAGGAAAACCAGGACGAGTCAGTCAGTGTACTTCTAAGTTGCCCTTGTAACCAGGAGACCATGGGAGGCCCACGGAGGAGGATGAGGGCAGCTTATGGGGATCACTTCCTTCTCATTCTTGAAACAAAGAGAAACATGGGTGGGGACTGGAATTCCAGGGAGCCAGAAAGTAATGGAGTTATATGTCCTCACACCCTGTCTGTATCCCATGATGGTGTGGCTGGAGAAATACCAAGTGTATCCATTCCAGAGATAACAAGTCACTTAGGTATAATGTTTACATTGTTCTCCCAGAACAAGATCTTTCTCCTTCAGGAATTTGCTGCTGCTTCTTGCCATGAAATATGTTCCTTTGAAGCGGCTAAATGAATACAGGTGTTGGAATTGCTCTTCCCTCTTTTAAAATTTCTACCCTCCTTCAGACATCAAATTATAGTGGGGTTTCATCTCCCTCTCCTAGACCGTAACCTCCATGAGAATGGGGACCTTGTCTTTATCCCCAGCACTCAGAACAGTTCCTGGCCCACCGCAGGTGCTCAATACCTTTGTAAAATGAGTGAATTAATGAGTGAGAGAAAGAAGCAGCTGTACAAGGAAGAAACATTACTTTTCTCACCTATCCTGCATCTTGCTCCTTTCTATTCAAGCTTTTACCTGTCCCTCGCCAGGTTCCCATCATGGACTGGAGATGTGGGTTGATACACATTTACATGCCTGGGTTAATAGTGCCTGTTTCATTGCCACCACAATGGGGCCTGTGTAAGAGTGTTAGATAAATACTGTGAACTGTCGCTATATTTCAATGCAAATGTCAGATCAGCCTCAAGTCATATCACCAAGGATATTTCACTGAAATGAAGTTTATGAATTTACAGATCATTGTTGATTTACGATATGGCATGGTTGCCTCTGATAAATTTTTGCTATTTCAGGCACTGACAATCACATTAGGCATACGTGTTTAATCGGATTTTTACAACAATATTCACCAGGAATACTGAGACTAGATTAGGAGGTTACCTGGTCTGAACAGTCTGTACCATCCCACCCATGCCGGTGTACATGTTAGCTGTAGACATCCAGAAGTTAGTAACCAGCATGTTGGCAAACACAGACACTCCAGCGATTGCACAAATACCTGTGAGCAAAGAATAAGAAAGCTCCAGAGTTAGTCTTAAAGGGATCACAGTGTTTCTGGGGCAATGTATGCTTAAATGAGTTTAGAGGAGCAGGCTGCACAACACCCCATTCCCATAACAGAACGGTCAATCCAAGGACCGATTATTGAATTCCCACTATGTGCCAGATGTTGTGTTAGGTGCTTAGACTCTCTTATCTCCCTAATTGTGGGAGGATTTGTATGTGCGCAGAAAGAGATTTTCCATGCATTTTGGGACCAGGGGTTAATAGTACAAATATTTTGGGCCTGGTCCTTTGACTATGTCAAGAGCTCTTCCCTTAAAATCACTTTCTAGAGTCTTATCAAAGTAATGCCTTTAGGGATTGAGTCACATGCTACCTTAGGGTTGAGAGTCTCTTATAATTGGGCGGGGTTGGCAGCTAAGAGGACCTTAGCACTTGTGATGATTCTGTAGAGTGTAATTGGGCATTAATCTCAGATTTTGAATCCAAGTGTGTAAAGCTCTGATCCGTGTTCAAACCACATTCAGTAGGGAGAAGCCATGTTTCCTCTGCCAGAATGATCTTGCTTTGACATTCCCAGAAGCCCATTTGAGAGAGGGCTCCTTGTTTACCTGAGATGATGAACATGATCCCAGAGGTAAGTGTCATGTTGGCCTTGGCAGAGTCCCCCATGCTGCCAATGCGGATGCACTTCAGGGCGAAGATGGACACCAGGAGGCCAATGGCACCCAGGACAATGCCCACCACCATCAGGGCTCTCACTGCCTGCAGCATGGCTGTGGGACAAGGGGCAAGACACAAGCAGAACAAATAAGACCACCTGAACAAAGCTTTGTTAATAAAACAAAGCAACCACAACCAACCAGCACCAAACTTCTGAGAGATAGCAATTCCATAAACCGTGAACCCTGTCATTGTCAGAGGATGTGGAGATGTGGGAAATGCAAAACCATCACTTACAATCTTCTGATTGATGAAGGACATGCATGTGAATGTCTGTAGAATGAGAAAATTATGGACTGTTGGAGCTGGGAGGGCCAATGGAATTTAACTATTTCATTTCCTCATTTTAAAGCTTGATAATCTGGGGTCCAGGAAGGGGAAACGGCTAGACTAAGGTGACGTTAAAATTTATTGATAGAGCTTATAGTAAAACTGTGTTGCTTTGACTTCTAACCCAAACATCTTTCTTCTCTAGTCTTTCCATATGGGCTCAATGCTTCATATAGTTGGGTCCACTTTAGGAAAACCCAGTATTCATTTATAGCATATAATGAAGCAAGGTCACTAGATGATATACCAAAGGCACTGTATTTTTACCTCTTTCCAAAGGGACTACTAGGGTCTTGGTGAGCTGTGATTTTGGGTATATATAAAAAACTACTATATCAATCTCAGGCTTTTCAACAGAACCACAGTTTTTTGGCCCTTCCCTTTCCAGGAATCAATGGAAGCTGTTGGTCCTGCTGGGACTCTCCTGCGTGACCTCCCCTCCAGGTACATCTAAGTAGTTTCCAGTACTTCCTTAAAGTGCAGTGACTCATCTCAACAGTTTCGTACTGAGCCCCATGACTAGGCACAGGATTGACAGTAATTAACAGGTCAGACGGGGTCTCTGCCCTCATGGAGCTTCGCCAAAGGGGGAAAGACAGTCATTAAACATGTCCGCTACAAGCATAACAAATTTTACAAAAGGAAGACAAGTGAATCTTTGGTGTCTTCCAGAGGGAAAGGCCCCTAGTGTGGGCTGTTCTGGGAGAGCAGAACTGAAGAACTGTGTGAAGGAAAGCACAAAGCTCCGTCCTGCCCTGGGTGTCATAGCCAATTGCTGCTTTTGATTGAAAGCTATTAGGGGCTTTTCATTAAAGAATTTTTCATTAAAAAATTTAATCCACATTAAAAAAACCACCTGCAGTGTAGGTAATATTATTACCTCTGTTTTATAGTTGAAGAAATCGAGACTCAGAGGTTAAGTAACTTACCTAAGGATACACATCAAGGAAAAAGCGGAGCTGGGGGTCAAACCCAGAAATGTCTCAAAATGGTTACTCTCCCATCACAGTACATTGCTTTGAGGTACCTTACCCCGGAAAAACTGGCAGAGTTTTGACTGCCGTCAAGGTACAGGGATCTGTAAACTCCTAACAGGCTGTACCCTCCTAACTTGGAGACTCGGTCATAAATGTCATGCTCTGAAAGGGATGCTAAGAATGTATAAAGGAATATTCTCCAAAAATCGTCTCAGGGAATAACCTGTCCCAGAAGACTATTTATAAATGTGACTCTCAAGACAAGGGAGTCCTGGTAGGGAATTCTCTCTCATCTCTTTGGGAAGATTTCCATCTCAAATATGGCCAATATCAGCGGAGCTGCCAGCTCATTCACTCTAAAGTGTGTATCACAAAGCAATTTGTGACGATGGAAGAATTGGCGATCAATTAAATTATATTGAAAAAGGAGAGGTAGATCATGCAGAATCATTAAAGAACCTTCTGCAGTGTCTGAGGAATGGAGGCCCTGGCCCCTTTCTCATCAGGTATCTCCCTGTGCAGAGATGATGGTATCCCTCTACTCTAGTTCTATGCCACTGACCTCCATTCACTTGATTCTGATTTTCTTCTCCCTGAAGAAACTTCTGATTTTAACTTTGCTTCTCTGCTGGGAAGAGAATTCTACAAGCAGCCATCATCAGTCTTGGTCCTATTAACAACTATATTCCTAGGGTAAATGTGTTGATTTCTGGTGTGGATCAATCCTCTAGGATCTGACCATTCATTCCTGGGAGAACTGATTAACATTGGCATCTTGGGCTTGCAGCTGAGTTCTGATGCGAGAGCCACGGTGATCACAGTAAGGGAAAGAGAACTCATGAGGGCCTTGGAGTGGCCCTTGGATCCACTCCTAACATGGGAGGGCTCCAGCATGTCACCTCTGTTCTCCAAAGCCTTGCCCATTGGCTTTGCTGGCCCAAGATACTGGGAACAAACACCCTGTTCATTTCCTCACTAACAAATGCAAGCATGTGTCATCTACTTGTGTACTCGTCTACACCTTTGTGTATTCATCCAGCACACGTTGTGTACTCTCACAGTCATAACGTTAACGTATTCATACACTCATCCATGAAATCACTTATTCATTCATTAAGTATTTTGAAGCTCAAATTCTCTGCAAAACCCTTTGCCAGATGCTGTAGGAGGTATAAAGTTTCATGAGAAATAATCTCTGCCATCAGGCAGCTTACAACCTGGGAAGATTATATTTTTACTGGGAATCTTGAACCTCAAATTTCTTTTCACATTGGGAGTACCTTGGCTAAGGAATCATAATAGAACTACTTTCTGACAGTAGCTCACGCTGTTGTTCTAGTTCTCTTTAACACGCATAATTAAACTATAAGCCTGTGCTTCAGGACAGCTATGGAGAGGACATTGTGGGGCAGCCCCAGACTTCAGGATAGGTTTCTCTTTTAGCCACTCTGTCTCTTATTTGATATTCTGAGCAAGAGGCATAGGCTTATCAGCTGATAACGGTGAGTCAACGGGCTCTACAGACTGATTCCCTGCACCAAAGGTGTGACTACAGCCTTCTTTCCCAAGAACAATGAGGCATTATCAGACCTGAAGGGTGGGCAGGAGTCAGGGCTGACAGAAGGAAACAGAAAAATGGGAACTCAGTGTTCCCGCCCTGTTGCAAAATATCTTATTCCCCCAAAGTAGCAATGGACTGACAGGCAAGGTGCCTTTGGGTGTGGTTCCCAACCCTGGCTGCACCTTGGCATCTCTTGGGGAAACTTTTAAAGAAATATTAATGTTTTGACCCCACCCCTGGAGATTTTCATTTAATTGTTCAATAACATAAAATTTCAAGACGTAATCTGGGAAAACAGCCCTCAAGAGGGCTCAGGAAGAGGTGCTTAGAGTGGGGATTTGAGAGGAAAGAGAGTTCCCAGTGGCTGACATCACTGAGCTGGCTGGGGGGTGGGGGG